ATTTAATAAATGGATTTATTTTATGATCATATTCTCTCATGTTCCTTTTCTCTCTCTCTCTCTCCCCTATGCACTTTTATGGATAAAACATCAGTCCGAGATTGGTCAGTGATAATTAATTACAATCACTATAAAATTAAAATCTTCTTTATGAATCCTTGGAATATAGTTACACTAGAAATCAAATCAATAAATTGAATGAAATACTACCCTTTCATCTGTCAGCAACAGACGAAATCTCTAGTATTTTCCTTGCTGAGTTGTTTCATTCATTTGATATGTGTTGTGTAATTTTTGTAGCCAAAATAATAGAGCATGACTTGTGCTGCAAAATGTGCTGATTACAGTTGTGCTAAACTGCTTGTGCAGCTCATTTTATGTTGCACATGACAAGCTCCAAAGCTGGGATGTGTTGGTCTGTGCTAGAAATAGCAATTTGGCCAATCTATTGAAATAAAATGACTTCCCCTTCAACTTATTTTAAATGGTTCTTTATTTTCACATGAAAATCTCAAAATTCCCTAAATTCTCCTGAATGGTGTTTAGCTGTATTATTAAAAAAATAATAAGCCTCCTTTGCTTTTTATTTTAAATCTGAGTTTTATGTTTTATGAAATTATAAATAAAAATGGCATTTTATATTTATGTCATAATTGTCATGGTCACAAATACAAGCTTATGCCAAAGCAATTTTCTGTTTTGCTAGAAGAGCAACAGTGATGCTGCAATTGGCTGAACAGCAATAATATTTAAAAAAAAAAAAGGTTTGGTAAGCTAGGAAATTGAATCTTTTGTTAGGTTAATTTCCACATAGCAATCAAATGTAAGTTTCGCCCATTTGTGAATGACATTTAATATATAAATAATAATTCATTTGCATTATGGACAATAGCAAGCAGAAAAATGGCATAATGTTTGAAAACACTTTTCAAGCCTTCAATTGGCTTTGTGAAACTGAATGTGGTCAGACTTTGTGCAGCCTGAAAAAAATGGAGATTTTCTGCATCAGCTTCATTCTCCAGTCCAGAGTGATTTATATTGACAGTCAAAAGATTTCTGATGGTTTCCTTTCTTCATTTAGCTTGTAATACTCCAAACTCCTTCTTGGGGGGAGAGGAAGAATAACTACAATACCCTTCTGTGTTTTTCTAACATATTTTAAAAAGTTGTTTTGTGTTGTTTCATATAGATATTAAAGGGAAACAACTGCCCCTCACCTTGCACGGAATGGGCTGCTGACTGCTGTAAATGAGGGCAGATGTTCAGACTGGATTTGACATTTTTGTCTACCTATCAAGTCCTTCCCAAGGACCTAGGATAAGCAGATGTGGGTGTCTGATGGTGTTACAGGTATCATTGCAGAATGTAAGCTGTTCCAAATAAAGCTGCCTTTTGCAATTGACCAGTGATGAATTTGTTAATGCCTATGGTATTCAAGTGATGCTCCAGATATTTTGGGATTGCATCCAAAGAGATTATGTTGTTGTTGTTGTTATTGGTTCATTGTGCACAGATGTTTAGACTGGATTTGGAATTTTTGTTCAGCTATCGAGTTGTTATTGCTGTTGTTATTATTATTATTATTCCCCCCAAAAGTCACTATTAACAAGGTTTGCATTTGGTGATTTGGCATTTGCTAGACTCACAGAATTTTTTTAAGAAAAGTACATGTAAAGAGTTAGCAGATGTATCCATGCAATTTAAGCTTGGTTAGTGTAAGCCTTCATTTGTTTCCTAACTTAGCATATTGTGAAAACCTGGCTTAGTTGGTTATTTATGCTTTAACATATTTTGTGAAGCCCAAAAATGGGTGACTTCAGAAGCAGATTATGGACATTGTGTGAATGGACTCTGGATAGAAGTGTTTTTCTCTTTAGAGTGATTTTAAAGCTTCTCAAGCTAAATTTTTGTTACATTCCATATTCATGTTTTTAACATTTTAATTGTACCGTGTCCAGAGTCCGTCTGCGAGGGAGATGGGCAGTTTCTAAACATGCTAAATACAATAAATAAAATAAATGAAAAATATTAATTAATTGTAGCTGAAGGTGGAAAGTGAGTTTCGAATTAGGTCAATCCAATAATTGTACAAATGACGGTCAGGCTTTCGGCAGGAAGAAAGGCTGAGCCTCACTTTGGACTAGCAGCCTGACAAGGCAGTTGGATCAAACCAAAACAACACCGAAAGCTGAAAATCAAAATTTGCTATGTGCAGAGCTTACAATGTGGCAGATGAAGAAATAAAATGTCTCATTGGGACCCCCTGAAATCTCTCTTAGAGGGTGATTTCTCCATGAATTTTGCTTCCTCATAAAAAGAAAGTAGGGATGGCCAAGAAGCAAGACCCGGGGGGGGGGGGGAATGCCTTCTTCCTATCAACTGTTTTCAATCTGATGCCCTTTCGATGTATGGGACTTCAGGAAGCTATACTAGGCGAAATTGCCTATCTTCTCGCTTCTGCAATAGGAGGCCTGGAGTGAGGCCCCACTGATTGTGGATGGTGCTTTTGGTCAGTCAAGGAGTGGCCCCTGCTTAGGCCTGGAGGCCCTGCAGGGATGAGAGACCACCAGGAGACCCTGGGGAAGGCTTGTTATCTCATGAGCAATGTATGTGGTCTTCTAGTCCTCTGAGCATGGCTGTGCCCATGGAATAGCAATCGCCTCAGCTGTGAATGCTAGAAAATGGCAGCAGAGAGCCACTTCCATGTTTCTGCTGAGGAAACTGACATGGGGCCCTCATTTCCTCTTTCATTTGCCCCTGAAGGCAAAACCAACTTTTAGGAGGGACCCTGAAACCAAAGAAGGCCAAAGCAGGCCACAAAAGAGAGCTGGTAATGTTGTTGTTTTTCCCCTAAAGGAAAGAGAATCAAGCTGGCTGAGAGAGAACATGTTCAGTTGTAAACAGGGAAATCCAACAAAGAATTCTTCTGGGAAACCATTCTCGGGTGAAATTCCACATGCAAATTGTGCCAAGGCCCAAATTGGGCTTTTCTTGGATATAGGATTCATGCTTTGATTTGATCTAATACTTCCAGATTTGGCTGAACAAATTGGCCAAAAAAGGCCAAGATGGCGGCCATGATGGGGCAACCAAAGCTCTGCTCTCTTCAGCACATTAAAAAAGGGGCAAATTTTTTATTGTCCTGCTGTGGCTGCCATCTTGACTTATTTTTACCACAGCCTGCAGACACCCATTTTCCAGGATTTACTTAATGCGCCGTGTGTATGCATGTGGGTTTTTAAAAGCATTTCCAGCTTGAAGTTCATTTGGGTTTTGTTGAGAAAATGGGTAGAGAAATTTTGTAACATTGTCAACCTGGACTGTCTTGTTTGTTTGTCTATATGGATATTTATTTAATAATTTGGTTGGTTGAGTGTGAAGTGACTCTGATTGTCAAATGAGTCTGAAAAGCTACCAGAATTAAAAAGCACAGCAAAATATAGTGAGAGCTAGCTAGCTAATATAGATGATAAATAATAGATAATAGGTGATAGATTAGATTGATGATTGGATGGATGGATGGACGGACGGATGGACGGGTGGGCGGGCAGGCAGACAATCTGCCATCCGCCTTTTCTGCTTTGCCTTAGCATCCCGACACTAAAGGGGCTGAAGGGCTGATTTCATAAGGGGAGAGTAAAGAAAATGTAGGTTTTCTCAGCCTATAAGGTGTGCATGACCACATTTATGCACACGCATCCTCCAGTATAGGGCTCCTTGTCTTCAGGATTTATGCCCTGCTTCCCCCAGAGTCTCCAGGATGGATGAAATGGCCTCCCCTGAGGACAGCTCTGTAAATCTTAATTTTGGAGGATGATTCTCTTTTGCAAGTGAATCTTTCTTCCCTGTTGTGAATAAGCCAGGACTGGTCTCTAAAAGGCTCTCAAGGCAGGAGTAGCATTAGGAGAAAAAAGGCCATCAGAGGCCAGGCTTGGGAAAGTGGATGTCTTTTACTACAATTCATTAGCCAGAAAAAGCGCTATCAGATTCCTTCTGAGTTTTGGCTACTATAAACAAGGAGTGCGCAACTATGGCAACTTTGCGATCTGTGTGGCCCAACGCCCAGAATTGGAGTTCTCAAAGGTGCTTTTTCACCTTGAAGATGTTTTACTTCTCATCCAAGAAGTGAAATGTCTTCAAACGAAAGTCCAGTTGCCTCTTGAAAATGCACCTTTGAGACAACCATGAACTGGATGACTGAGAATCTCCATAGACACTCCCAGAACTGGAGTCAGAGAGCTAACAACCAGCTGACTGCAAACAATATTAATCCTTCCATTTCCCACCAGTCAGTTAGAACTGAAGAGGTTTCTTGGATGAGAAGCAAAATGTTTTGAAGGAAAAACGAAGAAAGTCCAGTTGCCTTTTGAAAAAGCACCTTTGAGATATCCAATTTCGGGAGCTGAAGTCCATACAGATTGTAAAGTTGCCGTAATTGCCTACTTCTAATCTATAATAGCCAAAACTCAGAAGAAACCTGATAGCACTTTTTCTGGCTAAAAAAAAAAGACCAGTTGTCTTTTAGAAAAAATACCTTTGGGACAACCACAGTGATTGAAAATTTCCATAGACAACCGTTGGGCATGGACAAGACCAATTCTCAGTCTGCTGGAGTCTGAAGTAATTACCCCTATATGTTTCCAGTATCATATAGAAATTATGAACTATGCTTAAGATGAACTTTGTTTTTCTTGTTTTTTGCAGATGATGGTGCTGCAATATCAGTTTTGAGCTGATTTTACATCAGATGAAGAGGCGATAGGAGAACCTTTGTATGTTGTCAAAGTCCTCCTAATTCACAACATTTCTTCGGAAACAAGATGAGTTTTAAAAGCTAACATATTGGGCTCTTATTGAGGTGACTCTCCAGTAACTCAGATGCCGCAGTATGCATCTAAAATGAATATTTTTCCTGAAAGACAAATGTTGAAGTCTCGCAGGAGAACTTATTTAAAAACTCAAATCTTTAATTGGAATCATATATAAAGAAGTGAACCAGAATGCATGTTAATTCTAGAAGAGTTAGAAAATATCAGTTTGTGCACATTTTTGCCACTTGTTTTGTTCTGTGCTTCATGTTTTTTTGGGTAGAAATTGATAGCCCTAGGTTTGTGCACACGATGAAATCTTTCTCGTACAAATACCTCATAAATAGCTATGCTTTTGTGAATGACAGTCTAACGATTAGCAGATGTAACAAGGTAGCAAGGCATCGGTATTTGATCAATCACGAGGAGAAATGTCAAGGGCAAGATGTTCTCCTCCTGATCTTTGTGAAGAGTTCACCTGAAAACTACCAGAGGAGAGATGCAATTCGACAAACATGGGGTAATGAAGAATACATTCATCACTATCTGAATGCCAACATAAAGGTCTTATTTGTTTTAGGACAATCGAGAAATTTTTCACTGAGAAGTGAAACGCAAATGAGGCTGGAAAAGGAAGACGAGAGGCATGGAGATCTGATTCAACAAGACTTTTTGGATACTTTCTACAATCTTACCTACAAATTACTGTTGCAGTTCAGCTGGGCAAACAACTTCTGCCCTCATGCCAAGTTTGTCATGTCAGCTGATGATGACATATTTATCCACATGCCAAATCTTATTGCATACCTCCAAAATCTAGCACAAACTGGGGCTCAGGGTGTTTGGGTTGGGCATGTCCATTATGCAGCACCTCCCATAAGGGATAAAAAAAGCAAATATTATGTTTCCTATAAAATGTACCCGTGGCCTGTCTATCCTGACTACACAGCTGGAGCTGCATATGTTCTATCCAGCGACGTAGCTGCTAAAGTATACCAAGCCTCTCAGACTCTTAATTCAAGTTTTTACATAGATGATGTTTTCATGGGACTTTGTGCCAACAAAGTGGGAATTGTACCACAGAATCACCCCTTCTTTTCTGGAGGAGGAAAGGCTCCACATCATCCTTGCATTTACGACAAAATGATTACTTCTCATGGACATGTAGAAGACCTTCAGTATTTTTGGCGACAGATTACAGATCTAAAAATGAAAAACATTTCTTCTGGAGTTTGGGGTAACATATATTGCAGAATAGTTAATATTATGCTGCTTTGCAGATTATATAATTGCGATGCATATGTCTGTTCAGCTGCTTTTTCCTAATACTTGAACATCAGAATAGATTTACTGAGCCACAAATGAAGGAGGAAGTCACTTGTTTTCTCCATAACAAATTAACATGAACATAGGAGAAAAAATGCAATAAAAACTTGCCTGCAGATTGCACAGTTCTCCAAAGGTACGTTCTAATTATAAAAACAATTTTCCTATTATAGTAAAGTTTCCCACCAGGTAATTTTAAGAACTGGATAGATCTTAAAGTTAACATTGATACTTCTCAATCTGGAACTATGAAATTACCAAATGGAAATGGAGTTGTTGATTAGTTGAAAAACATACATTTTTGATAAGTTAATATTTGGAGGTTACAAGGAGAAAGATAAAATAATTGCTTTGACAGGATATTAATGTAATAGCATTTTTTCCACACACACACAGAGTACTGTCATTTCTAAGCACATTATTACATTTTGTTCTAATGTTTTTAGAACTGAATAGCTCTGTATGTTTTATTAGATGATCACTCAAGATGACTTAAACATCTCTGATCCTATATAAATGGTGCTATTGTTGACATTAAACATGTCTGGTAAATTCTGCAAAGCTGTTGTCTTAATAACAAAAAAAATGAGAAGGGTTTCACCTTTTCTGCAACATTTCACAGTTCTAAGTTGTACACTAAACATAAACATCATAAAATTGATGGCCCTGCCTCAGTGCTCCAATCTACAAGGCACCATTTGATTTATTCAGTTGGTGTTCACTGTATATATATTAACTCCCCAATGATTCCCATTAAGCAAGAAATATTTTTAAGAGATTAACACTAAAGGTACACTCCAGGAACACAAATATGAGCCCTGCAGAACACTTTTAAAATGTGAAGTATTTAATTTTTTTCTTTCAAAAACTATGAAATTGGCACATACATGATTAGGCAGCATAAATATATTTTAAAAGAAATAAACTGTTTTCTGTTCCAGTTTCATAAAGTAGTTTTCTCTTAATCAGAATTTCAATAATTTTACTATTTATAATCTTTCAATTCTTCTCCCGTTCTGCATTTCTTAATATGAGTAAAGTAACTACAGCTTCCATTTACAGAATGGGATGAAACAGGATTGGGTTGTCTGCATGCCTCAAGGCATACTTTTCTGTCAAAATTTTTGCTTTCCTGTTCCTCTCCTTCCTACGTAGTGAGTTTTGATGTCGAAATTAAGGCAGATTTAATATGGATTTCATTGGGGGTGAGACTTCTCTGTTATTCTAAGCAGTTTCAAAATAATATAAAGCTAACAACTACTGGTAGATCATAGACACAAAATGCTTGAATATCGTCTTGCTCTCAAGCAAACATTTGACTTGTCTATTGTGTCAGATTAAATTAAATGGTTATGTTTTTGCAGAATTATAAAGTATTTAGCTGGTTGTTAAGGAATAGAGTTGTATATTTTTAGCACAGAGAAGAATGTTTAATCATTTAAATACTTTATGAAAGCATCCTTTTTCCCCCTTAAGACTCTTAAGCGTGGGGATCTGAACATTTAACATTTTTAAACAGGAAATTCTTAGGTTTACTAGTGTTCCAAATGCAGGGCTGTAATTTCTTTTCTTGACTTCACAAGTAATTGAATTGTTACTCAAGGTATGTGTTGTTACACAACTGTTATACTAGTTTTTACCTGTTTGCAGCTATATTTGATTAAGAACATTTATTTATTCATGACCCTTTGTTCTGCACAGTGTTTTATAAAATATATATTTTCAATAAACATGTTGTATAGTTTGTAAATGTCCTCCTCTAATTTTTCCATAGTAACAGTTTCCTCTTGTAAAATAGAACATTTGGAATATATTACCTGCTTTTCTTTGAGGCGGCAAATCCAATAATTGTGAATAAGATTTCGCGTCCTGTCTTAGGTGGAACATTTAAACTATGTGCACATGAGATGCTAAGTTAAAAACACTGGATAGCAAATACACACTGTGATTTTATCTCCATTGCAGGCAACTGTGTTTCTTGGCACATTATTTCAGCCACAAATTTGATTTTGGAAACCAGGACATATACTTGAAAACAGCCTGATTTTATCAAAAGGCCTGATTTAATCTCAATAGCCTGAAATATTAATAGCAATTACTGATAGCAATTTTTCATGTACTAAGTATTTTACTTCCTTTGTGGCAGCAATAAAATCTGTATTCTCTTCTGGATAAAAAGCCCATAGTTATTCAAATACTGAATAGAATAGAATAGAGCTGGAAGGGACCTTGGAGATCTTCTAGTCCAGCCCTCTGCTCAAGCAGGAAGACCTATACCATCTCAGACAGGTGATTGTCCAGACTCTTTTTAAAAACTTCCAGCAATGGAGCGCCTATGATTTCTGGAGGCAAGCTGTTCCACTGGTTGATTGTCCTCACTGTCAGGAAGTTTCTCCTTAATTCCAGGCTGCTTCTCTCTTTGATCAGTGCTCTGGTGAACAACATGACCCCCTCTGCCTTGTGGCAGCCCCTCAAATACTGGAACACTGCTATCATGTCTCCCCTATTTCTTCTTTTTTAGACTAGCCAAACCCAAGTCCCGCAGCCGTTAATGTATTTTTTTTTAAAAAAAGTGTACCTTAAATATGCTTGTGCTCGTGTATAATAGATTGTAATTGGAAGGAATATGCTTTGCCAAAGAAACACATTTTAAAAATCTTGTATTTTAAACATCTCCCCAAACATTATGCAAAGGCTTTAGGTTTGGAGATTATTATTTAGATGAGTTAGATATGCCTGTTAGTCTTAGGAGCTTATGAAATTGTCATGAATTAAAGCCACTATATTAAAAAAAATCAGTATTCATTCAGGATTCTCTTCCATGTATGAAGTTACAACAGACACAAATTCTTCATGATGTAAATTTTAGAGATCTCTAAGATGGCAACCAAATAATGTGGAAATCGGATTATGACAGTGGTGGAATTCAAATATGTGAACAACCGGTTCTCTGTGTGGATGCCGCTTCCGGAAATCCATTCTGGAAAAAATTAGCTACCAGTTCTACCGAAGTGGTGAGAACTGGCTAAATCCCACCACTGGATTATGAGCATTTAAAAAAAAGTTTCCATTACAATAAGAAAGTGATTTACCAATGACAAAATTCATGAAACAGGGTTTGGACCGAGTATCGGAGGATCATTGGAATGAGAAAATATATTAATAACCATAATGGTGCAAAATGTTTCACTTATATCACATTAACAAATATTTATATGCATTCATATATAGATATTGAGAAATGCCATTTCCACTAAGTTGTGTATAACCTAGTTTTTCCTTTAAAAATTAGGGAATTCGTTTTAAAGTATTATATACATTTTGGTTTCAGAAAAAAAAATCCCCCCCCATAAAGATAAGGATTTAATAAAGACAAACAAGAATTTATAAAGACATATTTATGAATAAATATTCCTAAGCCTAAAATGCATGATTTATAAATACATTATAAGTAAAGTAAAAATATGTGTCTGATACAAACATAAATAAAATAGAAAATAAACTACATCTTATTAATAAAATATTAATAACTGTTTTTTTAGTGCATGTAAACATTTTTGAGAGGAGATACTTCTGACAGATTTTATTTTCCTGGGCTCCAAGATCACCTCAGATGGGGACTGCAGATGGAGACTGCAGCCAAGAAATTAAAAGACGCTTGCGCCTGGGGAGGAAATCTATGGCAAATCTAGACAGCATACTAAAAAGCAGAGACATCACCTTGCCAACAAAAGTATGTATAGTCAAGGCCATGGTTTTCCCAGTTGCAATATATGGCTGTAAAAGTTGGACCATAAGAAAGGCTGAGCAACAAAGAATTGAGGCCTTTGAACTACAGTGCTGGAGAAGACCCCTGCGAGTCCCCTGGACTGCAAGGCGACCCAACCGGTCAGTCCTGGAGATCAACCCTGACTGCTCTTTAGAAGGTCAGAAGTTGAAATTCAAGTACTTTGGCCACCTAATGAGAAGGAAGGACTCACTGGAGAAGAGCCTAATGCTGGGGGGGGACTTCCGGTGGCAGGCTCCTTCGCTGGACGCAGCTGTTTGCTGCTCCCGCCTGTTTCCGCGTAAAAGCCGGTTTGACAGCCTGCATCACCTGTCAAACGGCTTGATACCTTTCCCCTGGGCATAGGGGGAAAGGTGAGCTGCCCGAGGTAGGAGTTGAGTTCCCGAGTCGTCCCTTGTGGACGATGTAGGTGAGAACTCCTCCGGAGCCTCGGGATTCTCCGCGATCCAGGACGTCTTCGCTATAAGCGAAGCTAGAAGCTGCCGTCACCGCTGCGACTTAAAGACAANTATATTTTCAATAAACATGTTGTATAGTTTGTAAATGTCCTCCTCTAATTTTTCCATAGTAACAGTTTCCTCTTGTAAAATAGAACATTTGGAATATATTACCTGCTTTTCTTTGAGGCGGCAAATCCAATAATTGTGAATAAGATTTCGCGTCCTGTCTTAGGTGGAACATTTAAACTATGTGCACATGAGATGCTAACTTAAAAACACTGGATAGCAAATACACACTGTGATTTTATCTCCATTGCAGGCAACTGTGTTTCTTGGCACATTATTTCAGCCACAAATTTGATTTTGGAAACCAGGACATATACTTGAAAACAGCCTGATTTTATCAAAAGGCCTGATTTAATCTCAATAGCCTGAAATATTAATAGCAATTACTGATAGCAATTTTTCATGTACTAAGTATTTTACTTCCTTTGTGGCAGCAATAAAATCTGTATTCTCTTCTGGGTAAAAAGCCCATAGTTATTCAAATACTGAATAGAATAGAATAGAGCTGGAAGGGACCTTGGAGATCTTCTAGTCCAGCCCCCTGCTCAAGCAGGAAAACCTATACCATCTCAGACAGGTGATTGTCCAGACTCTTTTTAAAAACTTCCAGCAATGGAGCGTCTATGATTTCTGGAGGCAAGCTGTTCCACTGGTTGATTGTCCTCACTGTCAGGAAGTTTCTCCTTAATTCCAGGCTGCTTCTCTCT